CTCTCTAGCTCTTATTCCTCAGTATTCTCTGAGATGTGGGTAGGGATGATATTTGATGCAGACAGGTGTCCCATCTAGGGCCGAGCCCCCACAGTCACTTATTCTCAGCATGCTAAGCAGGTTTAAGTCTCTGCATTGACCACTACCCACTTCAGTAAGACACGTCTCTGACCTGGAGGCAACACACATCTATGGAAATGATTAGAAGGGAGTTTGAAAACACAACAATATTGATGATTTCTCTCCCTAGGGCCAAATGAGTTCCCTAGACAAGGGATTGGACCATGTTTAGAATCCTAGGCTTAAATTCTCTCCTGTAGAGCAGGCCTGAAACCCAATAAGGGGAGCAATTTGTTGCCTCTATTGCCACTCCTGCACCAGTGGGCACATCTTGGCCAGTGTAGCAGTATTCGGGTCCAGTGTGGATAAGACCACCGATGGAGTTCCTCCTCCTGCATAGCATTTCCAGCACTGTGAGGCTAGCTACCAGGGAGTGTTTCCATGGCATCTACTTTATTAGCTTCTTTCCCTGTCCTATGACCATCAACAGAACATGCATCTCATCTATTTGTGTGGCTCATGCCTAACATGCATGTGTCCCTAGGTTTCATCTCTAGCAAATAATTTTAAAATAAATCATTAACATATATAGAAAAATGAAAAGAAATTATTATTGTAATAAAATAAATGAATCCTAATATATGTGATATTTTTACTGGAAGCCGTGGCAGACATATATATTTATTAATATTTTCCACATTTTTAGCTAGAATTTAGACTATATATTTTCACATAGAAACTTTGAAAATGTCAGACAGGAACAAAACTTATTTTTAATTGAGACATTGCCAACTTCCCAATAGACTGAAAATATAGTTAGCCTGATATAGTCTGACTATAAAATCAATCAAAACGTACTTTTTCACTTACAAGAGCTAGGTTTAACTATAAAAATTAGCTTAAATGCCCTCATGATAATCGAAGATTTACAATATCACTGGTTGATGTTTCTTTCACAAACTAGAATAAAACAGTACAGCAGGCATTTGTGGAATGTATTTGCACCTTCCTTGAGGTAGGGTGGTCAGTGTTGTTGCCTTCAGAAAGCAAATCTCTTAGGCAAGAAGCCCAGGAAGTGGGTGGGACTTGTTCATGGAAGTAGCATCTTTGTCCTGCCGTGGTGCTGGAACAAAAATACCTAACAGTTTTATTTCTCTGAGCTCCTGGAGCTGTGAAGTCTCGGTATCCGATGGGAGCTTCTTAGAAGATTCGTAGGCAGCTATTTCCTAACTATACAGGATGTGGTGGGACAGAGCCCTGAAGATGACACTGATCCCATGCAGCCCTGATGACCTAATCAACGTCATTGGCTGAACTGCCTCGAACTGTCATCTCGAAAATTAGGGTTTCAATAAATGAAGGTTGGAGAGTTAGAAATGTTAAATCCATGCCAAGGAGACTTAAATGGCCTTTTGCTTTGGAATAGAAAGTGGGGAGAGGGTCAGAGAGCCCAGGCAAGACCAACAGTACAAGGCAAAACAGTCCACAAAGAGAAATGCAGGCCTGAATGCAGCAAATGATTTGTGTTGGCAATAGAGACAGAGGAGATGGGGAACAAGGCAGCAAGCTATAAGAAGACCTGGAAACTCCAGAGGAATTAGAGTGGACTTTTCCTCCCAGTGAAGACCAGGGAATCCAGTACAGGCTCTTAAACAAGAGTATGCCACAATATTTAAGAGAAAGTGATTACTCTTGAGCCTATAATGGTTATGCTAGTGAATTTGTTGACTCATTCTTTTGATGTGTATATACGTGTCAATTTGTGTCCCTGCTCATTTGCTGTTTATGACTAATCCATGCTGTAGGATGGCACATTCTCACATCCATCCCTCTTGTCTTGAGTGGCTAAGTGCGGGTAAAACCAATGGTGGGATGGAACATCTCTTAGAATATCAGGCCACCTGGATGAAAGGACCCCAAAGAGAATGGAAAGCAAAACCATGTGCCCAGGCCTTGGCTTTTGGTTGCGATGAGATTTGTCCCCTTCCACTGGGGTCAGCACAGTTCATGGAATCTTGAAGTTTCCAGGAGAGGCTGGCGCAGCCCTCAGCAGCAGCCTTGGTTCTCAGCCATCCACCACTGCATTTGTACGCTAATGACTCGTTCCTTCCCCACTGGAAACCACTTGTGTTTTCTTGTGCCTGACAGGTTTGAGGCCAGCCTCTAAGAAAGTCCTCCCCTGTATAATGTTCTGTCTTCTGTCTCTAAGTCACTGGGATCTCCAAGCTTCCTTCACTATCTCTTTTTGTAAATATTTTTTAAAAGAATGTAGGGGAAAGAAGGTAAGCATTTTAATTTTGGGATGCCTCCAAAGCCATTCATTAATTTTGAAAAGTGAAATGCATTTAACCTGATGGAATATTTATAAAAATTGGAGGATCGTTGTCCCCTAAATCACATTTATTTAATCTAGTACTAGACTGCTTTTTTTTTAACCAGATGGAAAACATTAGCAGTAATGGTGAACAAACATCCAGGCTCCCAGAGGTCATTTTTAACCACCATTAACAATCTGCTTTTCACAGATTAGCAGTAATGCAAAGAGTGGCAGTCCAGCAGAAGATGCACAAAGCGCAGCTGAGACTGCTTCCATGTCCTTGTTTACCCAACACCTAGACACTTAAGAGAACCTCAGTGTAAAAGAGGTGTTTATGTCGTCTACGCTCTAAATTGGCCATTTTTGCTCAGAAATTGCAGTAAAATGTCTATTTGAAATAGACACTAACGCAAAATGTTACTAAAACCTACACAGAGCCGATGAAAAGAACAGCCCATTGTTAACATCACCAGTGGATTTTCCTGTAGTCCTGTAGTATGTTTCCATTTTATTAGCTATTGATTTAGGGGTTCTCTGTGCATATAATGCTAGTACTTATGAAGGGGCAAGAAAACATGGTTTTATATATCTTAATTTTTTAATTTATTCACCCAATTGAAATGTAATACAAGATTAACAGTTCTCAAAATATATTAGTGAATCAAAATCTGGTCTATAACATGGTAAGAACATGGCTTCTGGAAGAGCATTCACATGTGACCTGAGTCAGCCTTGGAAAATTAGGTTGTGAGCGTGTTGAATGGTCAGCACCACCTCACCACATATGAGCAAGCATGGAGACAGGTACCTGCTTGCTTGTCTCTGTTGGGATTCAGCATCGCATCAGTGGGGAATTTCTGTACTGGTCATCTGACACTATATAGGCAGACCTGTACCTAATACAAATTTATCTTCATTTCAAAATGCCACCATGCTTGGTTTACAGACTAATGATTTGTTATCAACCTATTTCTTTCCTAGTAGAGGATTGAATTCCTTAAAGTTTCTATTGAGATCTACAATTGGGATACGTCACAGGCCTGTTCCTCACTATAAGGAGAAAAAACCAAGCTGTCAGGGTTCAAGAGTGTACTTGAGACTGTAGAGAGAGGTCAAATTCCAGATGTATCAGAATGAAGTTGTGTGAATATGCTCCTACTTGGTAGAGAATGCCTGGCATTCAGGAACATGGGAGTGTGAAGGATATTTTAGGCTCCACCCCCAAGCATGCATATATTTGGGAATATATGAACGAATGTATAGAAGTCCTTAAAGGGACGAATGTGTACCTTCATGTGCTCCCTCACACACTGCAATCAGCACGTGGAATACAGGTGTCTGCCCGTGGTATAGGCTGCTGCTTTGGAAGGAAATCTTGTTTCTTTTTTTATAGAAAATTTAACTTCTCCCAGTATTCCAACAAGTGCCAAGGGGCCATTACACTCCATTTCTTTTCGAGGGAAATGAATAAACAGCAGGCAGAGAATTGAAGTGATACATTCTGGCTGGAGCCGTGACTTAGGATTTATGTTCTCCTGGGGTTCCTTTAGTAACAGCAGAAGGCGCTTTGCTGAGGGCTTCTTGTATGTCCAGCCCCGAGTTAGCTACTGGCTGGCTGTAGAGAAGAGAGCGAGCTCTGCCTCCAGTAGTGGGTGAAGAGGAGGAGGAGGCAGGCAAACCCCTGCTCAGCGATCTGCAGGCGCAGAGGCGCAGCCTCACCTCTGGGAACCAGTGTGGAAAAAAAATCCATAAAACTTTCTCGAAGGTTACCCGCATTACCACGCCTCTTTAGATAAAAACAGATGTTCAGTCACACGTGGCTCTCACAAAAATTAGCTTGAAATTTGAAAACACAATCATCTAATTAGCTTAAGGAATGGGTTAAACCTTTGGTGTATTTGGGCTCTCTGATTCATGAACACACAATTTACTGTAGATAAATGAATTATTTAGTTTGCTGTTATTCTAGTGAGCACAGAGCAAACAGTAAGCACACAAGAGCAATATCTAAACTTTATTCAGAATATAGATGGCTGGCTTATTGAGTTTGGCTCAGGTTCTGGGTAGAAGCAGAAGCCGGGTGCTTTCAAGGCCTGTGCTGAGCTCTGGGGCTGCACCCTCAGCTCCCACAGTCATTTCTATTGGTCCCAGGTGAATAGTTGTGAAACTCACTGAGTAAGTAAATGTTTACACGCTGACAGATAACTTATTTCACACCTCTGCTGTAGTCTGCATTTCTTTCAGCCTGCTATCAATGACCAGGAAAGCCTCCAGATACATTACTGTTCTGCTGAGACAACGCCCCCTTCCTTTTTCAGCATTCCAAATTTTGGGGGTACCAAAATTTTGGGAAACTTCTGCCTCTGCCAGTCTCGAGAGCCTTCCAGGGAGAGCAGGCGTCCTCACTCCAGTGATCCTGCCCTACCTTGTTTTTTTAGAGTGCTTCCACTATCAAAGCGATGGTACCCATTCACAAAAATAGCATGTAGTCCTCTGAATTTCTAATGTCAGCTTATGTTAAATAATAAACTCTTTTCTAGATGTAAAAAGAAAGAAGAAAAACTCTGGGAAAATGGTCCATGCAAACTAATATTTTTCCTTTTTTTTTTTTTTTTTTTTTTAGGTGAACACATACAAGATACCAATTCACCTCATTCACTCAAAAAGGATGTAGAAAATATGGGGAAAGGTAAAGACAAATCTAAGTCTTGTACACTTCTCTTAGCTTTTAAAGAGTACAGAGATAATAAGGAGATATTTTTGTTCTGCACCGTACTTTAAGCTTGACAAGCAACATATGAATAATATATGGACCATTGGGTGGATATAATTGAGATTAATGCATACATATCAATCAATATATGACACTGTAATATAATACTTTAAAATAATATATTACATTGATTTATATTCATGGATTTCTGCACAAAATCTATCCCATGTCTATGCAACACTTTTTAAACTGGGAAAATATTTTGTCTTATAATAACAAATTGCCAGATATAACAGTTCTCTGGAGAGTTATTTGTAAAGATTAGTAAAATGGCTCTTCTTTTTCCCCCTATTAGAGGAACTTCAGAAGGTTTTATTTGAGCAAATAGATTTACGAAGACGACTGGAACAAGAATTCCAAGTGTTAAAAGGAAACACATCCTTCCCGGTGTTCAGTAAGGAGCCCTTTCCTTCCTTTCTGTGTGTGATGTTTGCTGGAATCTCTATCTTTAGGTTCAAGAGTGTGAGGCTGAGCAAGAAGCGGCTGAATGCAAAGCCCACACAGCCGTCCCACGCTCTGCTTAAGTTCTCATACACATTAACCCCTGATCTGTGCTTAAAACTAACTCAAAGGTAAAATTTCTCAAAAGAGCACCTGCTATTTATGCTCTGATATATGGGTAGCTGTGGGTGAACACATTTTAAAATGTGCAGGTAAACACATAACTCAGTATGAAATGTGTTCACATATTTAAATATGTCCAGATTATATATTTTAATATACAATTCCTTGGTAATTATCATTTTCTGAAGTAAGAAAAACAAAGGGACAATTACCGTTTATTCTCAGATAGCTCTGCTTAGCCGCTGATGTGGGCGATAGGTATAAACATGAAGATTTAAACAAGCTGGTGTCCATGAATCCATTTGATAATAGTAGCTCTCCTTACTTGGAGATTTATGCCAGGCAGCAACCAATGGATGCATGAAACTTGCAGGTAGTTTCAAGTCCTCTCCATGTCTTCTCCTGTTCTAGTCTCATTCCTGTGAGAAAATTTAATTTCTCACAGGAATTTGTGAGAGATTAGTAAAAATAGCCAAGGGCAAAAATAGAACAATTATAAGCATCTATACTATAATAAAAGTTATTTAAAATGTATGAATTGTTTATTTCTAGAATTTTCTATTTAATAATTTTAGGCCACACTTGACCTTGTATAAATAGAACCAAAAGAGAGAAAAACCAGAGTTAAGGGGCACTACCATGATTAAATCAATTTAATTTTAATAGTTTTACACTCTCAGTATACTTTAACATGAAATTCCATAGCGATGCGAAGCAGGAAAACTAACAGGTTACCCCGTTGCCCCCCAGAACCATAGACTTTTAGAAAGGCTACATGGTAGGTATCCATGTAAAATTCACGTGCCGTGGGCAAGCTAGCACAGGAACAAATGCATCTTGGGAGAGTTTTTCAGGCTTCTAGGAGTTTCATTTAATCATATTATGCTCGTCAGAGAAAGGAAAGAAAAGAAATAGCATGCAAACATTTTTTTAAAGATTTATTTTTCATTGTGTGTGTCTGTATCTCTGTGTCTCTGTGTGTGTGTGTGTCTCTGTGTGTGTGTGTGTGTAGGTCTGTGCATGTGAGTGCAGATACCCAAGGAAAGCAGAGATATTAGATGCTCCTGGAGCTGAAGTTAACAGACAGTTGTGAGCTTCACAGCTTGGTTACTGAACTCTTCAAGAACAGTACATGCTCTTAACCACTGAGCCATCTCTCCAACACCAGTATTTTTTAAATTATGTAAACTTAATTTTTTTCTGAGACAGTTCTTTAGAACACTAGCATGTCTCACGTACTGTGGACATCACAAAACCTGAGCTGTGAAGCTCTAGAATCCTAAAGGAAGAGTGTAGCCTGGTCTCCAGAGCAAAGAGCTATGGCCAGGCTGATCTCAGGCTCATCTAATTACGGAGTTAAGGAATCGCTGCTTTTAGATCTAGCAGAATGGGTTCATATCCAGTTAAGCCCCAAAGTGCCCTCTCAGTTCCCCATGAGGCCAGTGTGATCATAATTTGTTCTATTAATAACAGCTAATTAATAATCGTATAAGGGATTAAGTAATTCACAGTAATATATATTCTTCTACATTGCCCTTAGTCTACTATAAACCACACAGATTAAAACAATGTTAGACTGGACCAGGGCATAGCCCAGCCCCGAGGCCAGTCTTTACTGCCACAAAAACCCTGCAATGAATCAACTAGACCTAGGAGTCATCATTTTGATCTGAGTTGATATGAGGCCGTCTGTGACTGCCACATGTAAGAAGTATTTCAGTAAACAACATTCTACAGTGTCAGAAATCTGCAACCTACTCCACTCACCAAGGAGGTAGTGTGTGTAAACCCGACTTTGAATAATGCATGGTTCAGACACACCAAAAAAGACAATCTCACATGACAAAAACAGAAAATTCACATTATGTGCTGTTAAGTATAGCGGTGGTGAGGCCAGCCTGCAGACTCAGCCTTCCCTTCTAAGAAGGAAAAACCCGAGCTCTGGAAAAGCTACACCAGAAGGAAGCACAGGAGAGATGGAAAGCCTTTTACACCAGTGGAGAGGCCCTCAGGGTCTCAAGCGAAATCCTTGTACTTTAGAGACACAGGTGAGGAGCAATCAGGTGTGGCCCTAAGGAATCCAGGTTCTAAAATCTACCACACCTGAGCAAACTTCTCCTTACTGGTTTCGAGACCTTGAAACTGCCAACTGGGGCAGATAATTCCTGTCTCTCAGGATGAAAGAATTAAATGACACAACCCACGCAAAGCGTCATGCATGCGCTTGGCTCACGTTAGGTACCTTTAATAGCGGTCATCTGTAGCCCGAGGAGGTGAAGAGCCACCTCATAAAGGATCACTCTTCAAATGTATTTTCTGGTTACATATTTTTTTTCCTTTTGTATGTGTGTATGTTTCTCGGAGGCAGACAAATGTGTGTGCGGGAGCATAAGCACGAATACGCAGACTGTGGAAGGCAGAAGGAAGTCTTGGCTGTCATCCTCAGGAAATCCCTTTCCTTTGAGATAGGATCTCTTGCTGGCCCAAAGCTCACGAATTAGACTAGACTGGCTCATCCTCCTGCCTCTGCCTCCTTGTCACAGAAGTACCTATCTATGAAGCCATGTCTAGCATTGTCACATGGATTCTGGGGGTTGAACTCAGCATACCCTTTACTGAGCATCCCCAGAGCCCTCTCCCACAGGTACTTCTTACTCTTGAAAACGAACTCAGCGCCACCTACACGAATCCAATTGTCCACATCCTCTGTCCGTGACTAGGACTCACTTTACAGTTAGTGGTTTCCTCCTCCATTCCTGTCTCTTTTGTGGCTTCTTCTGGAAGGGGGGGGGGTGGATCCCCAAATACAGACAGCTCAAAAGTTCCCAGAGTTGTTTGCAAACAGTGATAAAAGGTAAAGTTGATGAGCCGTGTGCCTACTGCTCTGTGAGTAGGGCCTCTGGGTGAGCCAGCTGGGCCAGGGGGGTACTCCTCTTACTCATGGTCCCAGGAATACGTGCTGGACACTGCTGCTGTTTGGAAAACTGCGCTTTAAAAGTATGCTCAGTTGCCATGCCACGCCCTGCCCCACTTTGGCTGACATTGCTCTGCAGCGACTTTCTCAGGTGCCTCTTGGTAGAGAAAAAAGCTTGGTGATTTTTCATCTCGGGTTACACCTTCATTGACGTTTGACTATAACGAAGTTTAAACATGCTTTTCCTTTTTGGATTGGCGATTTTTTAAACTCAAAAGTCATCCACATGTTTAGACCGAGGCACAAGGGGAAGAGAAGAAAGTGACTCCTAATCTTGTTGCCTAGCCAACCCTTCCCCAATTAAAAACAGTTAATGTGTTAGCATTTCAGTCTTTCTACTGAAGATAAAGTGGATCTTTTTAAGATGAGCCTCCTAATGGTTAATACCAAGTGGTCATCCCTAAAAGCATATACATATGAGACTAAATAGACTCAGCGGGTTGTTTCTAATATATCAATCAATTTATGTGTGTGCATTATATATATAAAAGAAAGTGTATATATGGTATATATTAAGGAGAAATATATACATATTAAAGAGGTACATATATTAAAGAAAAAGCATCCATGAATTTGAGGGAGAATGAGGCTGATGGAAGGAGTTGGAGGAGAAATGACATAAATACAGTACTCACATGTGAAAGGAAATAAGCACATTGAACACCCAGCCTTGTCCGAGTTCCAGACAAAGGGCGGCATTGTCTTTGCACAAGACTATTATCATCTCTCTGTGCTGTCCCTACATGAATTGCTCTGCTGCCGGGCCTGAACTTGGGGATCTCTTGAGATCTCAAGTCCTTTTCCAGAAAGGAGGCAGCAGTATGTGCTCCAGTTGCTTGGAAACACATGTGACATCTTGTCTTTTTTGTCCCCTTTCCTTCCCCTGCTCACAAGCTGACCACATTTTGTTTATCAACCTTTAATGAATATACAATGAACCCTTATTGTATGTTCTCCCCTCCACATTTCTTTGATGTGTTACTTTGTTACTGGTTTGTAGGAGTTTCTTTTCCCCCATATTGAGGAAGAAACCCAAGACCTTATGCATGCTAGGCAAGCGTTCTACCCTGAGATACAGTTCCCCCATGCCGAATCTCCTTAAACAGTAAAATACCAGTTGTTTGACATGTAAACAGAAGCCCTTAAACTTACCTTTAAGTGTTAACTATGGTGTTTTGTGGGAAGTTGAATGTAAATTTGTTTTCAGAGTGAAGTTTTCAACTTCTGCCTCATCAAGGCCGTCAGTCTTGGGTGTAGTACTGCACGCTTGTAATCTCAGCACTGGGGAGATAGAAGCATTAGGACCATGAGATCAAGGACAGCCTCAGCTACATAATGAGCTTGAGGCTAGCCTAAACTGCTAAACCTGGTTTCAAACAAAATAAAACAACAACAAAAAGATTCATAAATACTTTGCTGTTGGCCTTTTGCCGCTGACACCCTTCCCCATACCAATCTGAGAACGGGCATTCACCACTTGTCTAACCCTTGATGCCCCCACCTTTTAGAGAACTGTTTTCATCACAGCACAGCAGAGCATTGAGAGTGAATTAGGGAAAGTCTAATTGCCATCATCCCACTCTAAATTGCCCTTTGCTGTTCTGGCCTACTCCCTGGAACTTTCTAGGATCCAGGGTAGTGCCCCATCTGGGTAACCAGCTCCTGAATACCCCTTATCCTCATCCCTCTCACTTTGCTCTGGGAAGATCACTGAATGAAAAGAGGAATCTACTGTGAAATTCTCTCCTCACAGAAAAAAAAAAAAAAAAAAAAGAAAGAAAGAAAGAAAAAGAAAAAGAAAGAAACAGTCTGTGTCTGGAAACATGGTGGCTATGTGGAAGTTCTGGGGCAGGCCGTTTGGGAGAAGTTTGTCATGGCTGGTTCTCATGTTGCCCTGTGCCCAGACTGTGGACTCTGACACACTCCAGAGTCTCTTGATGTGGGCTAGCTGCTCACTCCTCACACAGCAGCTTATCATGTTCATCAGAGCATATCAGAATCAAGCACTCCTGTTCCCCAGCATGGGAAAGGCAGAAAGGATGTTTGCCCCTGACCAAATCAGCTTGCTTTGTCATGAGATCTTAAAATGCCAAAGCAAGAATATTCCTTAGGGGCATCATTTCCACCTTGTTCTCCCTAAGGAAGGTCCAGGGCCCCTACTATTGGTGCCAAAGCCCCGGCCCCCTGGCGATAGGCTTTGTTCTTCCACTCTCCACTCTGTCGCTCTCCCCTGCCGCCTTCTGAGGACTGCTGTGGGCCTAGAGGCTGTTAAAGTCTCTAAACCTTAACTTCCTGTCCTGTGACCTTACCATGTAGCAAGCTGGAAGACAGATGTATTCCAACTAGTAACACATATTATGGATGTGTTAGTAGGGGTATGGGCAGCTAGCTAGAAGAGTGCAAAAGAATGATAACTGATTCTGGCAGGAGAGTCAAGAGAGTTGGAAGACTTTGTACAGGGAGGAAGTATTTTGAACTGGGATTTGAGGAAAATGAAGGTACTTGATGTAAGGGTAGACCACAGCAGAAACAAGGGTCCAGAAACAAGGAACGTAATGCCTGTTTGAAAGCTGGAGAGTAGTTTGATGGACAGCAGGGTTCTTGCAATGTCCTCCTTTCCCTCTGCTGCAGCCTGTGAAGTCACCTTCAGGGCCCCTCCCTGCTTTCTCCCCAGGATGCTGTTTACCTCTCTGCTCCAGCACTCCTTCTCCCCGCCCCCTCCCTCTCACTGACCCCCCCCCTACTGTAAAGACTTCCTCATCACATTTAGAGGTACATGTAGAGGTATTGTAAAATAGGGTTTGGATGCTTCTCAAACATAAATGATAATATATGCCTTGGGTTGGGGGAAGAAATTCTAATCGTATAGAAAGGCAAATGCCAAAAAAAAAAAAAAAAAAAAAAAGAAGAGACCAGTTACTTTTATTTCTATGCACCAGAGACTTAGGATTTGTTACCTTGGAAGTGTTGGGAAGCCGTTTGGAGATTTTTTCAGGCAGAATTTTAGCTACACCCTTTCCCCCACCCCCGACTGGTAGCACTGCAGACAGTAAGAGGTTTCCCTGCTGTGACTTGCGCAAGTAGAGAACATGACTGCAATGGACATTTCTGGGTGATTCTTACATGCAAGGGAACAGACTCGATGGAGCATGGGATACTGGGGATTGCTCTAGGACCCTCTGCAGATAACAAAATTTCATGGATGTGCCAGTCCCATACAGCATTGCTTAGTGTTTTCATACAGCCTGGGTACCTCCTCCCACACACTTTAGACTACAACTCACTAAGCCACGGGTCACACCCCCCCCAAGGGGTCACATAAGTGACTGTGGAAGGCATGCACTTGTGTTTGTTGTGTAACATTATTGGGCAGCACTTGTGTTTGTTTCACCCCTGACTGCCACTAGCGTGCAGACCAAGCCCTGAGGTGCTCAAGCATGGCACGCTTTGATGTTCATGATTACCATATGAAGTTCCGTGCTCTTTAAACAGAATGGTTAAGTTACAGGAAATGATTTTTTAATTATTTGATTTTGTTTTCATGTGTATGGATATTTTGCCTGCATGTATGCTTGTGCACCACATGGAAAGTGCCAGTGGAGGCCAGAAAAGGGTGTAGGGTGCCCTTGAACTAGAATGACAGACAGTTGTGGGCTGCCATATGGGTGCCCCAGGGCCTCTAGAAAAGCAGCCAGTGCTCTTGACTTCTGAGACATCTTTTCAGAACTCTGAACAAGTGGTTTTTTTTTTATATCTCCCTATTATCATTCTTCAGCATATAAAGATTAATTTAATATATCTTTTGATTATATTGTGTTAGGATGTTTGGTTTTTTTAAAATTGCTGTTTGAGTTGCTGACTTGAGTCTTCTAAAACAATCAATAAATGAATTTTGGTTTTGGATTAGGATAGAATTTCCAACAATTTCTAAAATGGCCCTAAGCATACCTCTGCCACTTTGTGGTACATATTTATGTAAAACCACATTCTCAGCACTAATAATTACAAGATCAGAGGATCAATAAACTCTGACAAACGCTGAAGCTATCCTATAGTATCAAATATTCTGCCAATATTTAACTATTTACATGAAGTAAAAAGCAGGCATGTTCACCTGAGTAACAGATTTGACTTTGCCACTAATTGGGAAGTTATATGTATGCCAGAGAATTTTTTTAAATAAACTTCTTTATGATTTATATATTTATATATCAATCAGTGTTTGTCCTGAGCAGAGTTTCATTTTTGATGTCTCTGTACCTAATACAGATAGATGCTGGATGGGTGGAAGATACTCCATTTTGTTTATTATAGACTCAGTGTCATGTTGTTGGTGTTCTATGGTAGTTTCAAGAGTCTAGGATTTGGAGGGCCGAATGCACACTAAACATGGATTTTGCGTTTTCATTAGTTTCCTTTCTGTTTCTGTCTTCCCCAGATAACTTTCAGGATCAGATGAAAAGGGAGCTGGCTTACCGAGAAGAAATGGTGCAGCAGTTACAAATCGTAAGATGCATTTCTGCTTATAAATATGTGCACCGTCCTTGCTTTGTTTTCAAAGCCCTCAATGCATGCCATGTGTTTTGCAGGCAATCCTTTGGTCCACTTACCTCTCAGCTGGTTGAGATGCTAATTACCAAGGGATTTACGTAGGCTCAGAGTAAACAGATGTGTCAGTGTGTTTCTTCTAACTGTAACTACCTCCCATGTGTTAATACACAGCTGTGTGCGCTGCCTCTGTGGGCAAACCAGAGGTATCTAGCATTCTTTAACTGCAAACTCGCAGGCATCGTGAGGAGAAGAAATGGGAAACACCTTTCACCAGGCGGGTCCTCTGTGGTCAATAGAACAGAATATACACACAATTAACCAATTACATGCCCTCGAAGGTTGATCAAGAGAAGCAATTCATTTCCAGGTGAAGGGTTCTCTCTCCTCGAGTCTCAGAGTGATCTCTTTAAATGGAAACCAACAACAGTGAGAAAGACAGCTGATAAACAGAATTATTTTGTTTTGAGGTTTGGTTTTCTGAATGTTTCACTGTTCCACCCCAGGCAGACACATCTGCTATAAGCCCTAAGTTTTTAAATCAGTCTCTGAAGCAGTCTTTATTTTTCCAAAGAGCAAGCAATAGGGAAAATAATTTATACTCAGTATTTTTGAGATTATTTTTAAACACCTGGCTAAAGATTTATGCTGATCTCTAGAAGAACGGTTGTCATATTAGTTGTTTGATACTGTTTTTAGTTGATCTGTTCTACCCCTTGGACCACTGAGTGTGTTGAAAGTGTCATGTCTAAAATCTAACCATGTAGTTCTCTGTCAGGATTATTTGAGAAAGATGGTTGCTAATGTTTCCGATGTATGGAAAGAGGAAGTATGCCCATGTTCACAGAGACTCCTGAGAGTATTTAAAGCAATCTTTGATTTCATTATATCTTCTATTTGGGGGTCTTAGCTGTATAAACAGTTTATAACTATGACACTCCCACTGGGGTTTCTCTGGTCTCAAACACTCATTAATAACTCCAGGTTTGGAAAACCTATATACCAGGCATTGCTTAGCTGGGGTCTTCTTGTGGGTTTTTGTTTTCATTGGTGGTGGTGGTGGTGGTGGTAGTGGTGGTGGCGGTGGGGTGTGTGTGTGTGTGTGTGTGTGTTTTGGTTTTGTTTGCACCTAAATTCACTGGGAAGCTGAAGATTTTTTGGGGGGAGGGGATTTCAAGGCAGAGTTTCTTTGTGTAGCCTTGGCTGTCCTGGACTCAATTTGTAGACTAGGCTGGCCTCAAACTCACAACAATCTGCCTGGCTTTACCGTCCTGAGGTTTGAGATTAAAGACATGCACCACCACACTTTTTTAAAAAATTTATTTATTTGGTCTCATCAGGACTGGTTGTATTGTCCTCCTCTGTGGCCTGGCAAGGCTGCTCTCCCCTCAGGGGGTGGGGATCAAAGAGCCGGCCACCAAGTTCATGTCAGAGACAGTCCCTGTTCCCCTTACTAGGAACCCACTTGGATACTCAGCTGCCATGGGCTACATCTTAGCAGGGGTTCTAGGTTATATCCATGAATGTTCCTTGGTTAGAGTATCAGTCTCAGAAAAGATCCTTGGGGGGGGGGAGGGCTACAGCTGGGATACAAAGTGAATAAACTGTAATTAATATAAAAAATAAAAATTTAATTAAAAAAAGAATCTTTAAGCAAGAGGAAAAAATTATTTATTCATACTTTACATACCAGTTGTAGCCCCTCCCTCTTCTCTTCCCAGTCCCACTATCTCTCCCTCCCTCAGCCCCCTCCCCTATTTCTCAGAAAAGGGGAGCTCCCCCACCCCAACTCATCAAGTCACATGAGGACTGAGTTTGTTCTCTTCCCCTGAGACCTGGTAAGGCAGTGCCATCAGAGGGAAGTGATCAAAAAGAAGGCAACAGAGCCATGTCACAGACAGCCCTCCTCCCCAACTCCTGCTCCCCTTACTAGTGAACCCACATGAAGCTGAGCTGTCTTCTAACTTTAATTTTTCTACTTACTTTGGAAACAAGACAACAGACCCAATGTTGCTTGCACAACAAGCACCAAGCTCCTTAGTCAGCTTTATGTTTCTGTACAGCACTGGAGGGCATGTCTTCAGAGAATCTCTGAAGATTATCAAGGAGTGGGAAAGTGTCACACTTTTATTTGCTTTCACAGTATTTTAGTCAAGGATCTGTCAGTACATACGGTTGTGAACTTTGCTCTCTGGTAACAAGGTAAACGAGTTCAGTCATTTCATATTCAAAGTCTACAGAGTGAGGAATCACAGATGAAGTAGAACCTAGCCTGTCTTGCAATCCTTGAGAAATAAAATATATATATATATATATTAAAAACCGTCATACTTGGTAATGGTTCCTGTAGAAGCACAGTGTGTTTATTCTGTATTGTTTACCCAGTGTTCCTATCCAGAATACTTACATGGAAAGCATCTTGGGTATCATTGCCATAAAAAGAAAATTCATGAATTTCTCTTGACTCCTACATTTTAGATCCTCTGATGACTATAATTTCTGTATCTTCTTTTTCCAGCTTGTTGAATATAAACTTGTAATGGCTACACAGTCAAATGATTGAGCCTCCTTGTGCATTTATAAATGAATGTGCGTATATTGTCCTGCCAGCGTCAATGCACACACAGAATTAAGTTACTTAACATTTATAAATGGCCACAAGCTAACTCTTAAAACAATACTTAAAATTTGAATACTTAAAATTTTGCACTTATGTGCAAAAAAAAAAAAATCTGTCATCCCTGTTCTGAGTTTTCAAATGCAAATGCTTAAAGTGTTTTCTTTATGAAGCCAGATTTATTTCTAGAAAACAAAGACTGTCCTCTAGTTATGAGCCAAATACAAAAGTTTTAAAATTTAGCAAGTTTGTGAAAATGTTAAGTATTTAGCATACAAAAAGGCAAAGGATGTGTTCGGTTTTAAAAAGTAAATCTATTGCCTGGTAGGTTTGGAAAGAAACTGAAGATGTTTTACTCAGCACATAACCTTTCAATTGAAATTGACCTAAGTCCTGGAATGGGTAGTAATATATAGAATTTGATGAGCTTTCTTTTTCATTACTAATTTGACAATCACTCTTTAAGAAAGTGCATCTAAATAAGCAATTACTGTAGGTTTACCTATGGTGCACTCTTCAAACCCCAAACTCTTCAAGGATGCTGTCAACTACCAGTACAGTACAATACAGTACAAGGATGCTGTCAACACCCGGTCCAGGGCTAGACCCAGACTCAGCCCCTGAGCTTTCTTGACAGCTACTCCAACAAGCAGGCATGCAGCAAATGTGCTAGTCTTGAAGTGCCCTCTGCTGTTGTTCCAGAATGCTGCAGTCACATGCAGCTAGGGAACCGGATGTCCCCCTTTAAAGGACTGCAGTTAGAATAACGTCCAAGCAATAAATTTAGTATTGATGTTTCATTAGTAGTGGACTTAAAAAATCAGTTTCCCACTTCCCTGTGATGGGCACACAGTAGCTCTTGGCAGAGGAACTGTAAACCTTTATCATCATTGGTGAACACCAGCTTTTGAGGGAGGACACAGCCTCTGGGTGATACCCATCATTCTTTGGATAGTGTCCAGTATTCTTTCAGAGGGAATTTGACCAAATGTCCACAGTCTCAAACCAGAAAGTTCTTTAAATTGCATTGTCTGTCTTTTTCTAAAAGGCGGGTAGAACTGTTCCCGTTTTGTATTTTTTACAAAAAAGATTCCCAGAGCCATTAAGAAGCTTTATTGTTGTAACTAAGCATGCGTGGGAAGGAGGTCCCTGTAGCCTCCCAGCTTGATAAAAATCTGAACTTCCACAGAAGCTTTCGTAAGACTCTATATCAGCAGACAGACCTTGACCCATGTGCATCTTTCCCCACTAGTGAGTGAGTGCCCTGTGTCTTGACAGTGACTTGATTGTCCCTCCATCCTGAGGAATTCTTCTCACATTTCTAGCTTCCAGATATTGACTCACCTGAGTGTCTGAGCTCAGACCAACTCTACCTTGGAACTAACTAGAACATTAGCCTTTTTTTTTTTTTTTTTTTGTGAGATAGTAATGCTTTTGGCCTAGTAGGGTAAGGTATAAGTTATATAACATTTCAAAGTTCTCTATCCAAGCCTTCATGATTTCCACACTGGTCAAAATGAAAAGAGAGTGTTTGTAAGTCCTACAGTAGACTTCCATGGGAATAAGTAACTTAAAGAAACTTTCTAAGCTAGGCATGGTGGCACACGCCTGTAATCCCAGCACTCAGAGAGGCAGAGGCAGGTAGATCTCTGTGACTTTAAGGCCAGCCTAGTCCAGAGAGTCCAGAACAGCCAAGGCTATACAAAGAAACCCTATCTCAAAAAACAAAACAAAATATATAGTTTATATATATTTATATAAGTGTATATAAATATATATTTATATATGTTAAAAGGTCCTCTAGAATATAAAGCTCCCAAGGCAGGAGTGTTTTCTGACATTTGTAAATCCAATATTATGTTTTATAGAATCTAAGAAAGCATCAGTTGTACAAGGCACCATTGCCTAATGAGTCACAAATAAAAAAGCTTCTAACTACAATTCTAATATGCCATCAATTATTATACATCCAATTTCAGAGATGTTAAAATGTGCAGGGGAAAGTGTGTCTTGGAACTAGTGAAACAGTGTAGTTTTAAGGAACAAGTAGGCCTGGGATAATCTTTATTTATCATTTATGAGCTGGGGCTTGGAATTTCAAACATACAACTGTTGGTCTAGATGCTCTTACTCTTCATCTTTGTTTTTACCTGGTGTTTATTTTATTCTTGTTCCAAGGAAAAAGACATAGACCCCAGCATTTGTATGAGGACAGCTCTCTGTGGCAATTTAATCTGGAGCTCTGAGACTATGACACAGTTAATTGGAAACAGCCCCCCTTTTTTCTAGCTGAATAAAATGTGAGCCAAGGAGGGAAAGAAGGAGAGTGGGATAGAAAGAAAGTGAAAGGGAAGAGATGTGACCTGGCTGAAAAAGTAGCATCAGTCCTGGAGTTTTCTTTGGGTTAGGATGTGGTTTACTCACTTTGGTGAGTAGTCTAGGGTGGTATGAGTTTCTCTCCTATAGTGCCCAGCACATAACACACTTAAAAAGTCCTGTAGTATCTGTTCATCATTTTAAATGCCCTTTGTAGACAGGAGAGTGGAGCAAGCACATCTTACTGTTTAACTCCTCGCACTCAGACGTCTGTCTAGATGAGATCTTGCTATCCTAAATAATAAAATTGCATTCAAGACTCTCACATTATGCAGCCAACAAGAGAGGTCACCCAGATTCTTTGGTATTTCCAGCCTATACCAGAATGGAAAATCTCCATTCAAGAGTGTCTTTGTGAATAGCAGATATAACATAACCTCTCATGAGAAGAAGAGGCAACTAGAGTAGGTGCCCATCTAACTGCCCTTGTTATAGCTATCTGGATGTACTCAGCCCACATCCTGAAATAGAACATTAGAGCACTCAACAGTTTGTGCTGTTGTGTGAATCATGAATTTCAATGCTGCCACTTGTGCTTTCTCAGATATGTTGTGTATCCAAATGGTGAGGTGCTTATTTTTATCTTCTTTTTTATTCATTAACACACTGCTAGATTCGAGACCAGTTTTATAACAAAATGGCCCTGCTTATCTTAGTCACCACATTATTGTAAGCTCACAATTTCTTTCCATTAATAAAGGTTCATGAGTGGAACAGTGAATCAAGGAAATAAAACCAATACCTGATAAAATTCTGGGAGTGGAGAGATGCATTAACAAAATATGAAAATATTCCATAGCCAAGCACGGTGGTGCATATCTCTGATTCTAGTCCTTGGGAGGCTGAGGCAGGAGGACTACAATTTTAAATTCAGCCTGAGCTATAAAGAAAAGAAAGAAAGATGAGAGACGCAGGGAAGAAGAAAGGGAGAGGGAGGAAGGGAGGGAGGAAGGGAGAGAAATATCACCTTTTTGAAGGAAAAGGATTGTGGTTTTTTTTTTTTTTTTTTTTTTTTCTCTTATTGCTTGTATGTAACAGTCCTCTTTTTGGTTACATTCGAAAAGGCTTAGTATCGGGTCTGGAGAGATGGCTCAGCTTTTAAGAACACTGGCTGCTCTTCCAAAGGACCCAGGTTCAATTCCCAGCACCCACACAGTATTTTACAATAGTCTACAATTCCAATCCTAATCCCAGGGGATCTGACACCCCATCTGCCTTTCACGGGACTGCACACAGTTGGTGCACAGACAGATACACATGCATTAAATAAAATATTTAAAAGGTGCTGGATATTTATTTCCTCAAATGTAACAGAGATGCAAATTTAGAGTCCTAAATTTAACCTCATAATGATGCAGGCAGGTAACACAATGACAGAGTCGCTTGACCAGGGTTAGGATAACACAATGACAGAGTCGCTTGACCGGGGTTAACATAAAAGCAAATGTAAATAATGTATGTGTCTGCTCGCAGCCATTTGAATTTTCTAATGAAAAGTCGCATATCAAATGTGATAGGCTTTCATTCACAACCCACTATTCAGAGGCACACTCAAGTCCACCCAGATAGAATGAATCATGTCTCCCATTCAATGCAGTTATTTCTAGCTCTTCTTATCAGTAATTGAGAATTTAGCACAGCAATAATTTATGTTTAGCCTTTTTGTGCTTCACAATGATAGCATGTTTTGTAAAGAAAACACTCTAATTAAACTGATTACTTTGAACTAGTTTGTAATCACACTCATCTTTTTCTGACCTTGGCCCTATTTCAACATTGCAATTCAGTTTTCAATAATAATAGTGCCATACTATTAAATACAAAGACCTCAAAACCTTTGAAAAAGAAAACACCTCATGTTAACTTCAATGATTAGCTGTGACAACCATCAGGTGTGCCGTCACCGGTTCTGTCTTTACTATGCTTTGTAGGGGCCTTTCTGAGGCCCCTACAAAGAAGAGAGCAGGGGAAGCTCTCTTCTCTGCGGGGAAGGTGCACTGGCATCCAGGTTGTTAGGGGTGACGAAGGGTCTCCAGGAAGTATCTGTCTCCAGCTTGAGGGTCTTGCTTGTTTCTGTCTTACAGATTCCCTATGCAGCAAGCTTGATCAGGAAAGAGAAGCTTGGCGCCCATCTCAGCAAGAGCTAAAAGGTGAGCTGGCAGCAGAGGCAGGTTTCATCATGGTAGCCTGAGGGACTGAGAGAGTTATAGTCTGTGTTTAAGTCAAAATACCGGCCGTGCTTCCTATCCCAGGCTCCAGCCTCCTAAAGCAGCAGCTAAGGGCTTCCCGGAAGTGCCATGGTAAACTCCCAAATTTAAAAACTTCTCTATCCAATCTTTAGAAGCGATAGTCATTCTGTTTTGACACTTCTTTCTCTGTAGGAGTTTATCTGCCCCTCTGAGGTATCAGCAGCCATCCTCACTGCGTGTCTCCTTGTGTCGCTGTCCCTGAAAGGCTCCTCCATCTGACTCTGGGAGTCTCTACACATGGTGACAGAAACAACTGAGCAGTGGCACTACCAGGGAGACTTTCTGCAGGGACCAGTGATCTGGCCTTTCCCCTAAACCAAAGTTTTGTCTCAAATGAAACCAGCTTCAGGCTCACATTCCTGGCAACAATCTGAAAGTAGGCAGTGAAAATCCTCTGGTTATAATCAAAGCATGCCTAAGAATTTCAAAAGCAGCCTTTTGAGCCTTTTGAGGAAGACACACTTGTTAATATGAATTGTAAGACTGCAAAAAACTAAAACATGATTGTTTCTATGACAATAGGCAGGATTACCTAAGGGTTAGAATTGCTAACTCAGGGGTAGAGGTAGTATTCCCGCCATACCCTGTGTGTGTGTGTCTGTGTCTGTGTGTGTCTGTGTGCTGTTTATGGTGTATGCATGTATGTACATGTGCAGGTACACTTGCTCATGCGTACATATGGAGGCCAGAAGTCAGTGCTGGGTTGTCTTCCTATATTGCTCTCCATCTTATGCTTTGACACTGTTTCCACTAAAACAAAAACTCACCACTTCAGCTAGACTAGCTGGCAGCTACTGTGATCGACCTGTCTCTGCCCATCCCCACCACGGCCCTTGGCTGGGCAGACGTGGGCCACCAGACCCAGGTTTTCTGTGGGTACCAGGGATCCCAACTCAGGTTCTTGTGCCTTCACAGCAAGCACTTTATCCACTGAGCCATCACCCCGGCCTCAGGGTAGTACTTCCTCCTGCTCATGGCCAAGAGGTGCATTTTATCCATTTCCTTCAGAGGACTCTGAGACTTCCTCCCTAGAGTCTCTTTGGGCGGGGGGGGGGGGGTCCTTACAAAGCAGGTTCAGTGTCCTTGCTCTCAGCCATGCTTCTCTTCTGCATATTGTGTATCTGCCCATGTAGCGATGGTGGCTGTCCTTGCCACCATCTCTGTCAGGGGTAGATTTCAGTCTTTGCTTGGATGATGATGATGTCATGTTTCATCTGCCTCCCAAAATCCTGCAAAACACACATCATTTTGTACACTGGGAAATGAAGTTCAGAAAAAGGGCATGCAGCATTTTTTGTCTGTAATGCGAAGCTAGGAAGAGGTGGCAAGGCACCATGTTTATCTGCTCCAACCTGGACATCTTCTTCTTGGCAAAAATGAAGGAAAAAGCATTGGAAGCAAAATTATTCTACCTCCATCTCCATAAAGCTAAACTCAAACATGCATGTGAGTTTGGCTGTCAACTGAAATATTTTTGCTCAGTCCAATGTTGACTTAATGATTGTTCCATATTATGATAGAGCAGGATGGTACTGGTAAAGCGAATGAATAAAATTCTTAATGGTGTTCAGATTCCATGAAACTTAAATCAGAATACTAAGATAATCAAGACAAGAATAACCCAAATGAATTGTGATAAGTATTGAAAATGCCAAACTAATCTTTCAAATCACAGAGAAAATACTAACATGGGTGTTTAAAAAAAACAAAATCTTTGTGTGACACACGTTCAGTAAAGCCTACAAATTTATGAAGTCACATAAATGGAGAAGTCTGAAATGGAAGCTGAGTCAGAGTTTACAAGATAAATTTGCTTTCAGGTTTCTAGCACTTGATGACAGTCTTGCCTCACTGCCAGCCAGCTTCTCCCACTTCCTGCCCCCAACATGAGTTAATTTTGCGGATTTGTGAGCCTCACGTCAAAGATGCTGTATTAAGTGTTTGACTCAGTGTTTGTGAGATTCATCCATTAGAGGGTGGCTTGATTTATATGTAGGAACTTCAGTGAGCTCTTTATTCCTTCGACTTCCCAGTCTCCTCTTTCCTGCTTATCACAAAAGCCCATCTTGCAGGAATGTAGAGAGTATTCATTGCCCTGAGATCTCTGACAGAGGCCTACCGTGTGGCTATGCTGTGGTGGAGAAAGAGATTGATTTATATTTAGTAACTAATGCTTCCTCCATGCTGATTTTGTTTCCATCCTTGCAGACAGCAGGGATTTCTCTAAGTAGACCCTAGTGCTTTCGGAAGATTAGCGGTTACTTAGCTAACTCAGCCAAGCGGAGAATCACGACCATGTTGTTAGAGGCGGTCTCTGACTTTCAGTGTGTGGAGCCTGCAAGGAGTTACCCCAAGAGAGAGTATGAGATAAAAATCATTATGCCAAGGGAGAGAGACAGTTCTGTCTTGCTGAGTGACCACAGGTTTCCAAATTAGGGACTGATACATTAACATCTTATGCAAGAGTGACCCGTAAGGTAGTGTTCATGCCACCCAGTGGATTCCAATATGAATATTAAGGGGAGGAAGCTTTTCAAAACCACAGGCAATCCATTTAATAAGCTGAGCAAGTACCGCCACATATCACTGCTCTACAGATCTCCTTTGGCCCTCTGCTAGAATACAAGAAATTCCATGGTGTGTCAAATTAAAGTGTCTACCCAGGCCAGCATAGTAACTAATTCCACCGGAAGAGCCAAGTTTCTCACAATGACATCAGCTTCACAGTTAAGGCATATGTACTGAACACTTTTAACTCACCCTTAATATATTCATTATCTGTGGATTTACTTAAAGTCTTTCTTCAACCTAGGCGCAGTCCCCTTTGGGGCAATGAATTCTATTTGTTTAGCATCCAGCTGTGTAAAGTGTAGTTTAGTTTATTTATCTCTAAACCATCGACTAAAACAAGCCCCATTAGATTAGACATTGTTCTGCTTGGCTAGTCTATTGTATTGTGAGCTCACGAGACTGACGGGAAGGAGTTAACAAATATATCTAAGGGTTATGTATGGATACTCACCTGGGCCCCTCTAAACATTTTCTATTTTATTTTAGTGTGTGTGTGTGTGTGTGTGTGTGTGTGTGTGTGTGTGTGTATGTGCAGTTCTCAGAGAACAAAATGATGTTCTGGAACTAGAGTTACAGATGGCTGTGAGCCTCCTCATAAATGCTGGGAACTGAACCTGGTCTTCTGCAAGAGCAGGAAGTACTTTCAACCACTGAGCCCATGTCTTTAGCCCCTGGGCCCATATTTAACTTCAGAATCACTTCCAGTATTCTTCCTTGTCTGTAGTCATTGCTCTGACCAGCTCCTGTCTAGATACCTCAGTGTAGCCTGCATTTACTCTCTACCCATATAAAAAAATGTTATGATGTCAACATTGATATAATTATTCATGATTTAATGATTCATTTTCTTTTAATTACCTTCAAAATGCTGCAAATGTTAGTCATGTAACTGGTTAAAACACCCGTCTCTACCATCTAATAATGAAATTGTTTTACCTCAGTGGGAAGTGGGTCATAGGATGGCTCCTTATGGTGGTACACTATTCTCCAGGCTGTAACAACAGTACCCATCGTTACTTCAGCAGGCACTGTGCCAGAGCCAGGACTAAATGCTTTACTCTGTTACCCCCGTGGTTTACAGCTCTGTACGGGAGACATTGTAGGTCTGTAAGGTAGATCCAATTTTGGCTCCCATTTCACAGCTTCCAACACTGAGGCTTAGGGAGGTCATGTAGCTAGCAACTGATATCGCCAGGATTTAGCCCTGGACTATTTGACACTTAGCCGCATTCCTGCCTCCCTTGGATCCTAGGGCTGATGAGGAGCGGACAGGATTCTAATGTGACACAGTGCAATCCCATTCAACGTCTTCAGGTTTGCTCTTATCTGTACATTTTAAAAGGGCAAGGCCTCTCCCTGTTCTGCAGCCCTGAGGATCATCTTGCATCCCCAGCTTCTGCTACAGTCTCTCTTTCCCTAAAGGGATGCTTTTGTTTTTTAAGTTTTATTTTTTTATTTTGAATTATGTGTGTGGGAGTAAACATGAGTGAGTACAGGTGCCCACAGAGTCCAGAGGAAAATGTTGGAGCAGGAGTCACAGCGGGTGTGGTCAGCCAGACGCGGCTGCTGGGAACCAAACTCAGGCCCTCCACAAGAGCAGTGCGTGTTCTTTGCCACTCACGCCATCCCTCCAGGCCCAGAGCTCCTCTTACTGAGACCAAGTAGTGATCATGTGTAACAGACGATGTCCCACCTGGTTGGTTTTTTTTTTTTTTTTTTTGGCCTATGTTTGCATTATTTCTATCACTAATTGCTACTTTAGACACTTCAAGAGGGTTTGAAAATGACTTCTGACCCCATTTAAGAATATCTACCTCTTTGCTAAATCCCTAGTATTTTCATTTCACTTGTGGAAAAAAAAACAACAAAAAACCCTTTAGAACAATGAGGAAAACATTGCAGATGGCCGTTGAGAAGATAATGCTGAACATCCTGCTGTCCTTATATATGACCAAAGATGAAGAGCAAGGATGCACTTTATGGGTGGTGGAGAGCAAGGGTCTTCCTAGAACCTCTACTGGGAACAGCCATGGACCCCCGCTGTCCTCAGTGCCCCACATCGCCTTATTTAAGAGTCACCTGATGAGATTTGGACTGCTGCTCCTCTGTCGCTCATCTGATGAGCAGAGACCTGCAGTGTGGCCAGAGACTCTGAACTTCATCTGTGCTCCTCCGAACTGTAACCTGAAGCCGTGACCTGCTTTGCAGCTAGTCATCAGGTTATGCGTGTGCCAACCTGATGACCTTGCTGATTTTGAATCACAAAACCTTTAGATGTGCTTCAACAGTTTCACTGACAATAAATAAATAAACAAAGCAGCATGACT